TGAAAATATTCCGCAGTGTCACACACAGCAAAGGCATGCACCCTGAAAATAAAAGCAAAGGTGTCTTGTACTACATTGCCTCTAAAACATTTTGTATATGTTCTATGATGACCGTTTCATGCATATTTATATATATATTTTATCTACTGTATAATGTGATGGTGAGAAAAGAGTTTCCCTTTAGCGGAATAATAAAGACATCAGCTGCATTTAAAGGACAACGTACTAAGAGCGTCTGACTTAAGCCCTGTCAAGATTAAGTGTTACACTTTGAACCTAGTACACTTAAGTTCACTCCATACATGTGTGTGTGTACTAAGTCATTATGTTTTAATAGCTGATGCCCTGCAGGTTTTTTACCAAATAAAAAGATCAATTTAATAAATACCTGAGATGGGATCCAGTAAGGAAGTTCCCAATAGCAACACCAGCTGCTGTTCCACCACTGCCTACAGTTAGTATGACATCATCAAACCTGTCAGTCACTCCCTAAAATAATAAATCAATTAATTAATCTCTATTAATCAATAAATCTATCCATACATAGATTGCCTGGACAAGGCTTGGACAAGGCTCCTCTTTCCACAACGGATCGATGCGCTTGTTCTAAACAAAATCTGTACCATAACCTTCTGGTAGAGGAACGTGTGTAGAGGAATTTTTTGATGAAATATGCACCCAAAGGATGTCAGAACATGATTGACAAGTTGCTTCCCATTGGAATGTTAGTGGCAAGAGATCAACAAGATGACACAGGATGAAGGTGATGGACGCCAGAGGATGGTTTGATTGATTGATTGACAAGTTGCTTTCCATTTGAGGAAAATAAAAAAAAGTGGTCAAAACTTCCAACTTACTGCAGTCTGTCGGCAAGCTGCTGCATTCTTGGCTCAAGGTCAGTCTTCTCTTGAGCTTTTATGGGAACCAAGTACATGGATGCACCCATCAAACTGTTCAGTAACATGTTGCCATGACAACCAGTCTCAGAAAGGTTCTAAAAAAAGATGCAAAATTAATTGCTGAATGATCGAAAATATGAGATGAATGTGTTAAGTAATGATTTATACTTTTTATATTATTATTTTCATTTATTTACTTGGAGCCCTGGAGAGCAGTTGGTGGGGCATAGACAGTGAGTATAAGCACAGTCTTAAAGAAGTGGGAAAATTAGACGAGTAGATAGAGCAGGCGATGTTTACACTGAATGTCATAAGAAATTGAGAATAAAGGGGTCCAGGGAAAGACATTCACAGACCAAGGGTCCAACAACCATCGTAGGGCTGAGAAAAACTATAATTGTGGCACCTCTAGATTGCTGGAAATTGCTCACTTACACTTAAATTTGAATACAATTTTCTTTTATGTTTTCTCCATTCTTTAAAAAAATATGTCCATATTTGGGTGTAATATGACATAATCATGCACATCACACAAATTTGTCACAAAACATTTGACAGTGTGGACACAGCTTTAAGCTCTGTTCACACTGTCAGGTTCTATGTGACAAATTTTAAGAAGATAATTCCTGAATTTTTGTATTAAAATGGATTTAAATAATTGGAAATTATACTTTTATTTTTTATCTGTGACTTGATGTATTATTAAATGATCTTATTAGTTTAAATAAATGTTGATATTATCAGTGTAATTAAAGCAATACAGTTTTAGACATCTAACCTTGTTACCTGATAAAACAGATCCAGTCATGTCATCTCGCTTGATATAAATATCAATATCATCTGGTATATTTGGAAGACTCCATTTATGAATAGGTGTAAATGGCTGAAAAAGCTAAAAAACATTTAAATATCTCATTAATTGAGAAAATTAATGGGGTAACTGGCGACTAAGTGCTATCTATAGTGTATGCATTTGAAAAGTCTGTAGATTTACGTACATAACTGATATCCAATTTAAAATTTTGAGAAATATTTAGAAAATATTATTTTGATCTTAACAATTGAATTTGTTCCACAGGAACTGAATGAGTTTGAACTGGTCATATGGCAAACCTACTGTATTCCCATCTTTTTAATAAGCATTTCCTCGTAATAGAGGTTGGCTGTAGAGCTAAAGACATTTTTGCAAAAAAGTTTCCCTTTAATATTAAGAGTGACCCAAAGCAGGAGTTCTACTATACAAAAAAATAATCATTACTGCAAGCATCTTACTGTAATAACCAATCTACCATTGAATCAATAAATCTTATGTAAACTAGATCCGAGAATGCGCAGTTCCAACTACAATTAAGACTTTTAATTTGACTTTTAGTTTGACATTATTGGATTTTTGGAATAAGCCTTTGATTTTCACATGATTGCTCTTACAAATATCAAATTTTATTTAAATATTTATAAAATATTCTTTATGACTGACTGGCTCTTCTCTCTTAGTATAGTTTAAACTCACCTGTCAGTCACCATCTTACAAATCTAATATTTGTTTCCTTTTGCTATTAATCAGTATTTTGCCCAAGTGATTTCAATCTCTTGCTTTATGCAGTGATTTCTAGCTTTTGATCAGCTTTTAAAAATTGACTGATTAATACATTAAAAAATAAAATTCTCATATATTAAAGTATGTTGAAAATCAAATATATTTATATACAATTGGATTTTTCCCTACCTTAACTTTCACTAATGGAATCATTTGAAGGTGGCCTGCCCAATCAGGTGGCCTGTAACTGAGTAGTTTATTTGAATTACTCTTTGTGTGTCTGCATCTGCGATTTGTTGTTGCAAGCAGTAGATGTCCTTTTAAATGATTGATCTTCACCTGGCAAATTAGAGCCTTTACTTTGAATGCAATCATCATGACATTAACATAATTGTTAATTACCTGTTTAAAAAAGGATTTATAAACATTTTATTAATTATTACCAAATACATTACCAAAATCACCATCATTCTTATCACTCCAATGTACCTATTTAAGAATATAAAATTTTTTTAAATGATTAAATTTTCCATTTTTATCAAATTAAAATATTTGAAATTCGAAATTTTGGCTGGGTCCCTAAGAACCCACGGTAGCCACAGTGCAATGCCAGTACCAACATATCTAATTCTCATGCGAGGATTGTTCAAGGAGAAGAGCAATCTGACTTCATTTAAAACCTGACTAAGGGTCTACAGTGCAAGAAGCAGGGACAATGCTCTTGACCAAATGCTTAGCTATAAATATAACTTTAAACATTTTCATGTTACTACATTAGGATAGGCCTAGAC